CCTCCCCTGCTGTTCCGCTGCACTCCCCCAGTGCTTTGCCTCAGTGTGGCGGGATCAGATCGGGTGCAGTTCCCACACTGTGTCTCTGGTGTTGTTCCCCGTAGGGCCATGCGTCAGTGAGGGGCATCATGTCTCATAGTGGGGCTGGTCATGTGGTCCTCTCTGTGGACTGGTTGCTCTAATTGGGGTCATCGTTCTCAAGGGCTGGTGGGCCAGGGTGTGCTCAATGGTATTATACAAATATGCTTCATAAAGTTCATGAAAATATGGATTTAAAAGATACTGAAATTTTTCCTCAAAAAAAGCCTTTCATATATAAAATTTTGATCTCCACATGCTGTGCTGTTATATTAAAATGCAGTTTTTGTTCATCTGTCAATTTAGTATCCTGCTACTAAACCTGTTTATTAGTTCTGGGAACCTCTTGTATATTCCTTGGGATTCTCTAAGTAAACTATCATCCCATCTGCAAATAGAGACAGTTGTTTTTCTTCCTTTCCCATGTACATGCCTTTTGTCATATTTTCTTGCCATCTTCTCTGGCTTCTAGTCTTATGTTGAGTAGGAGTGGTGAGAGTGACATCTTTTTCTTATTCCTGATTGGAGATTTAAAAAAATAAAGTTGAGAAAGGTCCCAACTCTTTCTAATATAGTGAGCATTTTTATCGCCAGTTGAATTTTGTCAGTTGATATTTCTCCATCAATTATAGTTTGATTTTTCTTCTATAGCCTGTTTATATAATGAATTATGTTGATCAGTTTATGATTATTGAATTAATATTACATTCCTGGTCTATAATTATTTTCGTATGTTGCTGAATTTTATTGGCTAATCTTTTGTTAAGGATTTTTATGTCTATGTTCATAATGAGTATTGATCTGTAGGTTACTTTCTTTCGTGTACTATTATTTGTTTTTTTGTAGCAGGTGTAATATTAAGAAAGCCTTGAGGTAAGACAGTGTTAATGAGCACAAAGCATGAAGTGAATGACTTCGGAAGAGGAAAACTAATTCAAGAAAGAGCCGGAAGGGAAGAATCTTGCGAAGGGAAAGAAAGAGTGTTGTTAGCATGAGTGTGGGGTAGTGTTCCAGAGCACTTTCAGTTAGGCTTGGAAGCTAATCTGATCATGGCGGCTGGAACACTTAGTGTACTCTGCCTAAGAGGCTCCTAGTTTATAATGATCTGGTGAGGCTGGGAATATGTTGGCTAGGTAAGGAGGGGTTACGTATAGAAATTTTAGGACTAGGGTAAAGGTTGGATTAGAAATTCTGAGGAATCAGTAATAGGCAGATCCTGCGCTTAAAGGGAAAGGCCTGGTAGGAGAATCAGTCCTAAGCAGGAAATTTGACACCTCTTTTTAGGGCATTGGACTGCAATCGGCAGTTCAAAACCAACAGCTCCTCAGGAGAAAGACTGGGTTCAACTCCCGAAAAGAATTACAGTCTCACAAACTCACCCGGGCAGTT